AATTAAAACGTTGCAAAATACGTAGTCGAATAAAATCACTAGTGACTCTACTAAGAGGTTTAAGTACAGATTCAATTAATTCAATAAAAAAATATTATAAAAAATATTTTGCAAATATTGAAAAATAAGTTGGTAGCTATATCTTTAATTTGTTAATTACACTCGTATATTATATTAAAATATACTATAATATTAATAAAATAATATAATACCTGTGTAAAAAATATGTAATTATTAATTTGCAATTTTGTGAACATCATGACCTTAGTAAGTGGCAATTTTTTTTAATTTGCTTCCATAAAATTATATTAGGAAGTTCTAAATAATCCTTAGAACCAAGCGCATGACATAGGCGGGTCTATAGCACTCTCCCCGGCTCCCCTCCCTCAAGAATTTATGCCAAGGAAGTTGTACCACTGAAAATCAGGTACAGCGCTCTTATTAAATTAGATATTTTTATTGGATCTTAACATTGCTGATATAGTGACATATTACCTACATATATATTATAATACATCGAGGAAAAAGAAAGTTTGTGTTGAAATCGTTTCTCCCCGACCATATAAGACACAGTGCAGGATTTACTATATATTATGTTAATAGATTTGTGCCCGCGTGCTGACTGAATATAATAAAAAGCACATGTGTTCTAAAAAATTGAAAGTTGATTATATTATTATCTAAAGGACTCAAATGTGTGGACTTGTTGAAAGCACTCAATGAGACACAAACGAAAAGATTAAAACTTAAGGGTAATATAGGAATTTAAAAATGCATTTTGTCATCAAACAAAACAAACATTTAAAATAAAAAAATATATTTTTGACGACAGAAATTAAGATAAAATATTTTCAAAAACCTTAATATTTTGATAAGAGTTTTCTTTTGTACAACAATCATTCAATGTACTGTAGTTAATATATAATCATATAATATTTATGTAAAGCAAGTGCAGTAAACGCCGCAAATGAATTAAATTCAAAGAGCTAATTAAAAAATCTGGTAGCTGCAGTGGACATAAATGCAGTGCGTGATGTACCTATTATTTTTTATTATTATATTATTCTACCCACGACCTAATAAACTGTGTTGTATAGAATGATTCACCAAGCATGTCCACTCCATTTGTCTGCAGATTTTTGGAATTTTCATACATACATAATATATAAAGCTTGCAGTTTTAAATTGTTGAGATTTTTTGTGCTGCTCAAATGTCCAGTGGGAGTACTGTAAATTATTTGGCGGGTAATCGTTCTGAACATTTTTTGTAAAAACACTTCATACATAAACATAAAGTAACATAAACATGATAAAAGATAACTGAGAAACCACGCGTTCAAATTTTTAATTAGCCACATGCATCAACATTTTCAAAAAAATATATCCGCTAAATAATTTATAGTTAAAAAAAGGAGGTTCTCATTTGAAAATCAAAGTAAAATCAATAATGGAAAATTCAAATGACAAAAGTAGTTCAATAAATCCAAGAATTTGAAAATATGATTTCTAGACTCTAAGTAGGTATATATTTAAAAATTCCAAAAATCTAATATGGAATAAATAATCAAAATTATAAATACAATATTTATTGTCGAAGGAAAAAATAAGAGTGACCGTGCTCAATGAATCATCCTAGCTGTATATAGTATATATTATATCCGCACTAGCTATACAATTGTCTAAACTCATAATACCTATCTTTGTTTCGTCCTTTTATCTCCTCTTGCACGGATACATAAAATAAATACCTGCTGCACCGCAACATCGGTGCATAGATAGGGAGGTGCATCTGCTGCGTGAGGGGTGCAGTGCGTAAATTATACAGGGAAGACCGTAAAAAAATGGCGCGATGCGTCTGTATATTAAAGAAAAAACGCTTTCCCCTTACCGAACAATATTACACACACACACACACACACACACACATACAAGCGCATCTCGGTTAATGGGATTAAAAACCAGCGACAACAACAATGTACATCGTCGTCGTCGTCGTCGTCGTCGTCGTGTTTATACACGCGTGTCTATACATATATATTTTGCGTTCGTGTAGATAATAATAATAATAATAATAATAATAATCGGATCGGGGGCGGTAGGCGGCGGCGGGGTCGTTAAAATATATCACGAGGATACGACGGATGGACGGCGGACGACACGTATATATATATATATATATATATACAGATATAGTCTGCGGAGGGGTTGGCAGGGGGATGGGCACGCCGGCAGGATATATCCTGCTCACACACACACACACACGCACGCACACGCACACCGGCATGGCATCGCGATGGTGTAGCGAGTTTATATGTATACAGCCGCCCGGGGAGATTCCGATCAATATAATACGAACGCACAACCCGGACTGAGCGAAGACCGGAGCAAAAATGGCGGCGTTACAGCGGCTGTACTATACACGGTTCGGCGAAACGCGCGACGGTTTTTACAAAAAGCTCGCGCCGCGCCTCCACATATATATATATATAGCAAGTACCTACCCTCCACTCGGGTTTCCGAGCTCGCGGTTACCGCGAATACGCCGACCCCCATAATCTCGAACATGCGTATATAATAAACACACACACACACACACACACACACACACACACACACACACACACCCACACGCGCGCACGAACGTCGTCGCCCCGCATGTGCGCGCCGTGCCTACGTACGTAATATTTATAAAAAATTTATTTTTCCGATCATCGAGCACATAATAATAATAATAATAATAATATTATATATGTACCTACCTACCTACGCACTCCGCACCGGCGCTGTAGGTGTATAAAAACGTTTCGTTTGTTTTTCGCAAACAGCTCCACACGTGATTTCCCGCCGTGACTTTATCATGAATCGTGATGCGCGCCTATATTACAGGTCGTGACGGCCTATTTTAACACAAGACATTATTTCTGTTTTGTTATTGTGAAGGGGCGGGGTAGGCAATGAAATTATAGAAAGACGCATTATATTTTATTTCAACAGGTACTATAAATGAACTCAATTTTGAAACTTTTACTTTGCATTTTTTGAAAACTTTGATTACTTTTTCTGCTATTTTAAATCATTTTTGTCCATTGGAACTTTTTGTAGACACATTTCATGAATTATTGTTTAATTTTTGTAGTATAAATTAGTTAATAGATCGATATATTTTTATATTGCGTAAATATTATGACTCTTTAGTATCTACCTATATCTACTCATATTTTATACAGTCTTTTTTCGAGATTTTAAATGAATTTTATAAGGTGTTTGATTCACAGTCCTAATCATTATTGCCATAATTATACAATGTGGATATGGCAAAAAATACAAAAACACGGGATTACATGGTTGTGGGATTACCACGACGGTAAATATTAAAATACATTTTCCGCCATCTATTTTATTTGATTTCCCCGTTGGAAAACCATCACATCCATTAAATATTTTCAAACACTCGCATCATTATACTGTATGAAATTATACTATCCCGCTCACTCATCGTCCGCGAAAGAGAGGTTTTCTTTTTTTAAGCGCGTTGACTCCTATGCCTCGCAACCACTATAATATGTATACCGGGGCCTTCGCAGTGTGTATAATATAATATTCGTCACCCGCGCGGTTTGACAATAAATCATTAAGAGACGCTCGGCGGGTTCACGTAGAACGCCTGCACCGACGGCACTGCCACGTGGGGAGATACGATGTGGAGGGGGGGGGGGTTCAATAGGGATAAAAATGAAAAAAAATAAGAAAAATATTGTTACAGTTTTTCATTGTTAATATATCAAAACGAATTATCGTTTCAACGTGTTATAAATTATAATAATATATAATATTATGCAGAAATATTTCCGGTCGACCGATCGATCGATTTGCATCACTCTGGTTAATATATTTATATATATGCGTATGTGTATATAACTGTACATATATGTATACATTGTATACAAATATACAACTATTGTATTGAATATAGTGTGATTGAAGAGGGAGAAACCATCCCGATCGTCCAATTCATACATAAAAGTATTTGAAAAAAATATTTTGTAACATTATTTGTAATACATAATATTATAAATTGAGGAAATTAATAAATTTAAGGAAAATTATCTAAATAATACTTAAACAATTTATAAAATAACCACCTATACCCTATATAGGCTATAGCAGATTATATACGATGATAATTTTGGGTAGAGATTGGGATGGCGTATGAAATGGTTTTTATGTATTTAGTTACATAATTTGCGTAATATTGTAGTAGAAGTATATTTTTTCCTATTTTTTTATGATACCACTGTTGAACAATTATAAAACAATTATAAACACATTTAAATACATAATTAATAATAATATGTATTTAACATAAATATTTTATGGGTATTTAAGTTTTTTTATATCAGTGATATAAGTCATTAGTATTTGTTATTTAAATAATAACATTATGTATACTATGTCAACTTTAAATATAATAATTAATAATGGTTCAAATATATCATAGGTACACTGACATGTTATATTTTTAATATGATAATGCGATTTATCTCACACCGTTTGTCCGTTTAGTCGTATAATATGCCTAAAAACAGTAAAATTACGTTAACTTTATTATTTAATTAATATTTGTCAGGTAATTATAAGAAAAAAATAAAAAGAAGACAGTAAAGAATTATCTAGATAATGCATAACGCTGTTATGGGAATATTATGTGCAAATGCATCATCTAAGATCTCTAGTGCTCCGGTTTTTGGCATAAAAATATGGGTTTAATATAATAAATTATGGATGTACAGTTGTACACTGTACACCGTAGAATTTTGAGACTAACTTTGCACCCACTCACCGATGTACTAATTTTGTGTGGTTGTCCCTGTTGTAGGTATATATTAATTGTCATATAAATTATGTAAGCACGCTGTTGCGCTTTACATTAAAATATAATTATTTGTTTATTTATTTATCATTCATTTCAAACCCGATAACGAATAATTAAAAATTTACAGGTGGGTTAGCGGCGTACAAAAGTCTTCCATATACCACTCATGACAGTATTCTTACGGAAAAAAGGAAACAAAGGAGAATACGGACTACTTTCACTTCAGCCCAACTGAAGGAATTGGAAAGAGCTTTTCAGGAAACACATTACCCTGATATATATACCAGAGAAGAGATCGCCAAACACATAGAGCTTACAGAGGCCAGAGTTCAAGTACGTTTTGTTCAATATAAAATTATGGATGCTTATTAGATTTACAAATAATAATGACCTATTGTGCGTAGGTACCTTTGTATAATAAGTAATAACATTATTCCAAACAACAAATGTTTCTCGATGCTATAATAATATAATATTACCATATTGGTAAAATAAAATAGCATAAAAGTCTTAATATAACAATATCGAATTGCTTATTGTTTTATGACATTGATGTAAACATTATAAGTCATATTATAATATTGGAGTATGCCTAACCTTTATATGCAAATTGTGTACACCTATAATATTGGACACTATGGTATATAGCATGCCTATTATTCATGAAGTTAATTTCTCAGACTGTGGATCTTATCTATTACCTTTTCTTGTGTCACAAGAGAAGTTTATGTTTTTTTAAGTTGCATAAAATGTTAAGAATTAGAAATCCCGAAAATTACCAAGTTTATTCGAACGACGATTATTGTCAGCAGTGTCCGTCTGGCACACCAAGGGAACGTGGATCAAGGCCATGGGTCCTATAAAAAAAATTGATCCTAAATATGAAGTATACGTTTAATTATTTCGATAGGATACTTTACGGAGTCGCTTCTCACTACATACACAAAGGACACGACAAGCAAATTAAAATTTAAGCGTTATTTCGCTTTACTATGACTAAATATTCTCGATTTTCCATAAATCAGTTTTTTCTGTCACCGCGTCTCACTACCACACAATGGAAATAACTATAGGTCAATGCCCATTTTTAGAACAAATTTTTTATCTTGTTGAACCATGTAGGTGGCGATAGATTTTCTGATAAAAAGTTTATGATAAAGAGTTGCGGTGCTAAAAAGATGGATACGCACTAAATTAAACTATTACCTATATTAATATTCTAGCTAGTTCACACTAAATTCCCGTTTGATCCTGTTAGATTAACTACTAAAAATATCAGTACATTTTTTAACTGTATTTTTTTTTTTGTTTTAATGAACAAATGATTCGGAGAATTAACCAAATTAAAAAAAAAAATGTAGTACCTAATTAGTTAATTTATTTTTAATACAAATTATTTTATAAAGTGTAGATTGTATTTGAAGAGATCTCGATTGTATTATTTTAATTAAGTTTACATGATTAATAATAATTTTTACTAAATCAATTATCTTAAGTTTCCCCATATTTAAATTATTTTCTGCACAGTTCAATGTCCATAAGAAAACTGAGTAGTCTTAGGGTACTTAGTTAAAACTTATAATAAGTGTATCTCCTCTCATTCTTAATATCATGGCACGTGTACTAATTTCATTAATTATTAACTAGCTCATAACTTTCATAACATCGTTCTACTTCTACATTATCCACATATTTTTTTTGAAAAATCAAACTAGATAATATTATGCATTTTAAATTTAGATTTAATACTGGAATGTTAAGTTTGTTAAATTTAATCTATTGTAGATTGCTATGTATTTTTAAAGAATCTATCGAATGAAAAAAATATAACAATTAAAAATGTGAAGAGAAATAAAGAGAAAATGTTAACTGCGTTCAGCCATACATTATTTAAGATTATCTTTATTCTAATACAAACAATAAAGATGATATGTATAAACATTGTATTAGGGGTAGACAAATATTACTTCTCAGACTTGAGAGGATGTCAGAGCGCTATTTGTTTTTTGTCCCTGCCCATCACATAGACAAACTGCATTCAAACAGAATAATCGCTTTCGTGGTTTCGAGTATCAAATCTTAGAAAAACACCTCTTAAGAAATTATAAAATATAATATTCTGAAAGGTTAGAAATATCCGTTTTGAATTGTATTTAGGTATCATGCAATTTTTAAAAAAAAGTGATAAAAAAATTTATATAAATTTAATTGGATTTTAAAACATTTGAAACAGTATTTTGACAAGATGATAATATATTAAACCCTTAAAAACATTTTCAATCATTATCTTAAAAGGTGATTTAACTCAACTAGAAAAATACGCAAAAACTATGAAATGCCATTTTACATTATGCGAGTTAAATGATTATTGACTATGTTGTATGTGAGTAGAGAAATAAAAAAAACAGTGAACAGATATCGTCTTAATAAATTATTAACTATTAATTAATAATTCAAATTTACTATTATATAACATTGAATTATCAACAATAATAGTAAATTACAAATTAAATCAAAATACGCAAAGAAAATCAACATCTGCAGCTATTCAAATTATAACTTATAAGTCATCATACTGTATTATAAATTATAATTCATAATATCCTCTAAGGCTGTATTAGAGTATTATATAGGTGAGTATTCATCTAAATATAATAACTAATTAAATTTATTTGTTGTTAAATAGTCGTGTGTTCTTTCGCTTTTTAACATAATTTTTGAATATGTCATACTTTTCAAAGTGCACTGCTCTGTTGTATTTGTTCATAATATTAGAGTTTTCGTTCTTTCGGAGATCGATACACAGGATTTATTATACATAATAATTAATAGTAATATATTAATTATTATTTAATTTATTACATTTTTTTCAACCCGTAGGTTGGTCTACAACTACAAATCTCCATTCTAGTCAATTGGTCGACTTTTCTTTTAGTTCCTTAAAAGTTTTGGTTCTTGTGCATCATTTTTAATCCTATGTATAATTAGAATTACGAGGACGCCCTGTAGTTCTCTTCTCTTCAGTCTTCAAACATGGCTGTATTATTCTATAATTATATTATGCAGCTCTTCTGCGGGGTGCCCAAACGTTTTGTTAGAGAGTAATGTAAAATGCCCGTAAATGACGTACCAACTATACTAACCTACATTGGTCATATCTTATATTATCCAATATGACCCACTGATTTTTTAACATCTATAATTCATAAATATAAGAAAAAAGTGTGAATACATTGTTTTAATTTCAAATGTATAGACTTTATGATTTATTTTGCTATTATTGACGGAGCCCTTCGTCCTAAAATATCCCCCAGTCATTTTCGACACAATTATTTAGCGCTATACTACTTTCTCCTCCTGGGCTACTGGACCAATCTTCACGAAATTTGAAATCTATATTCAGTAATAACTAAGAGGTGTATAGAGTAAGTTCGGCGTTTTCAAAGGCTGTCATTATGTAGTTATAATTAATTACCTATATCTACACAATTTAAAGAATATGTCTGGGTTATTATACTTATTATATTATAGGGGCATAGGGCTAACATATGAAGGCTCTCTAGGTGATATGTAACTGAGTAGTAAGTATGTATTATAAAGTAACAGTGTAGTTGATGCTTCTGGACAGAAATATTTAACACACAAAACAAAATACAAAATACACAGCTAAAATACAAAATGTTAGGTGGTTCGAAGCACCACCGTTTCAAGTGCGTACTCGACGATCCTTGGCCGGTGGGCGGGGTGCTCGGCCGCAGCGAGAAACTGAAGTTTTCCCACACTCTCAAAACACAAACACGACAGTTTAGGGTACGAACGTGACAAACATTACAGTACATATACATTTGGTATGCTATATTATGTTTATTGTGTTCGTCGATCGTGTCCGACAGCATCATCGTAATAATGACGATAAGAATCGATGACTGTAACGATAACAAAATATAATATTATCCACGCGAACGACGACCGTCTCTAATAAAAATATTATATTGTACAATACAAGCGTATCGAATCACAACAACTCCCGAGCGTAATCCGAGGCCCGGGCGCCGTTGTTGTTGTCCGGCCAAAAGGAAAACGAGTCGGTTCCGCGGCGCGTGCACGTCTCTATATTATCGTCGTAATCGTCGCACCCGCCACCGCCCACCCTCCCGCCATTGACTCTTCGGCTCCCGTGCAGAGCGTCGCACAATTATTGTTGGCCGTGCTAAACGTCCGCGAAATGAGATACTCTTGTGTATACGCATAAGTAGTGTGCGTGTGTGCGCGCGCGCGCGCGTGTGTGTGTGTGTGTGTGTGTGTGTGTGTGTGTGTGTGTGTGTGTGTGTGTGTGTGTCTTCACGTGTAAGTGGTGTGTGCGTTTTTTTGCCAGGCACACGTCGGCCACTTGACGACGACACGCGCGACCGGAACCCTAATTATTTGTCGTCCGGTTTGTCGCAGTCGTATTGTTTGCAGCTATTAAACGCGAACACGGGCGATCGGATATTATTACAATAACAACAATAGGTATAACAATATAATAAAATATGATATTATTATTTATTCTCTGTCGTTTTTTCGATAATCATATCACACGCGTCAAAAATGTAGTTATATCTTGTATCGTTACGTTATTAATTGTTATATTGTAGCACCATGAATGTATTAAACATTCAGGGCCATACTTAGTAATTCACCGTACCTATTACAAATACTACAACAAAAATCGCCCAATTAAATTAAAAAATTTACATTTAAGAAAATTCTTGATCGCTTGATTTAACAATATTGTAATAATATCGAAAGTAAAACTACCTAGGATATTAGGCCACTTTCGATGTTTATTTTTTTTTTTAAACGACCAAGTAATGTATGCTAATAATAGCAATAATCTTCTTTGTGTATAAAAATAATTGTGCTTTTGTTATTAGTATCCGTTAATCTCGAAAACTGCTGTCCTAATTGGCACTAAATGATGCACATATATTTATAGAGACTTGAGGTCCGCCAATGACAATGGGGATAAGAGGTATGCTAAACTTATGTTTAGTAGGTATATGGGTATATATATCTAAGTACCTACCTAGGCAGGTAATAGTATCTGAAGGTAGACAACACTTAAGTCATTTTAATTCTTTTCCATACCTACTATGTAAGTATAACTGATATCAACGATATAATTATAATTGGTTTAATGGGCTCAAGTCATAATAGTATTCTGAACCATTACATAATATTGGTAAAAATAATTTAAATAATTTAACTTCTTTATTACTGAACACTAAACAGGTAATGAACAAACATAAATCATAATATTACAGGCCTTTTTATATTTTTTATTATTTCTT